TCAGAACCATCTTGCCTTTACATATTTTGTTTAGAGCAGAATACTCACATAAGTGAGTAATAAGTTCTTTAGAACAACATACTAGGTATGTAAATTTAAAATGTTTAAAATGCATTTACCAGTGTTATAGTAACTGGTACTTAACTACTCTGGTCATAATTATTTCTTTAACTGCATAAATCAAAATGAATTTTTACAGACGTTGTGTAAACCCTTATTTAGATATTTTGACTCTACTTTCTGCACCATACGTTAATTCTCGAAGAACAGTATTTTAAGATTGTTGAGTGAATAGATCAATCAATAAATATACCTAACATTCCTATAAAAGTTCATATGTAAATAAATACATTTTATCCCCCTCATCTGTCTTGTTTGTCTTATATACACAGTAAAAAATTCCCCTTTTTTGGTCTAGCTCTTCAGTAGTATAATTCAGCAGTCCAAGGTTTAGCAATTATTGCACAAATTTTAGAAGCTGCTCTTCCTCCAACATTGTTACCCAGAAGAAGCTCTAATTACATTATTGAAATCACTAGAAATATCAGTGCATGATAAACACCGATTTATATCTAAATTATTTAAGCTGAAAAGCTAGGAAACTTTCTAAGAAAGGTTTCTGGAACATCAGGAAAACAATTCCCAGACATATCCAGCTTTTTATGTGCATCAGTGAAATCTTCGTACGATGCACTGAAGCATTTTGATTTTTTTTTTAAACCAGCTTTTCACACAGCTCCAATTTTCAAATATAACTATGACTTAAAGGTATAACGAGAGCTAGTTCCATATAAACACCATGAGCACACAATCTAGTGTGTAGTCTATTGTAATTAAGACCAGTGATTCAATACCTATTGCTACTGGCCAGGTATCATAGCAACCTTGTGCCACTGAATACTGCTGGAAAACACCAGCAAGACTATGCTTCAGGAAAATCCACAACGACACTACAGATTGTCAACATCTGTGGGGGTTGTTATAGGGAGAACAACATAGAAATCTGCTTTAAAAAACCCTATGCTTAGAAAATTGACAGGGATACTACAGTAGCACTACAAAAAGGAAAAGATACAGAGAGGAAGGAAAGACCATTTTTTGTCATTAGTTACATAACTTATGCACCCACATCCTAATATCCATCCATATAAGCTGAGTTGAAATAATGCTGCATTACCACATTGTTTATGTATATCCACAAAGTACTATCTCTTTTTTTTTTTTTACTAAACATAAACATCATTCTTCACCAACAATAATCTGAAAATAAAACAGACCCACTTTTAAAATAATATTTAAACTTCCACAAATGAACTCTAGATAGTCTTGTATAAATCTGCAAAAAAAAGAAAAAACAGGTTACTATGAACAAGAACCCAATATTGATTTTTCTGCGGTGCAGTAAAGCATCTCCATTCTATTTGGCTGCTGTCAAAGCCACTCTTTAACAGCTGGAGTCAAATTGCACTATTTACAGCAAGAGCCCTTGTCAAGTGGACCATAAGTATTCTAACAATACACTATTCAAATGGCACTTTGCCACACAAATTGCTGACTTGATGAATACCCTATGTCAATGACTAAGGCCAATATAAAAGTTTCATTTTTACATTCACATATTAAGTAAAGCTTTCTTGAAGAACTATTAAGCTGTATATTTTGGGTCTTTTGACATTGAAAATAATTAAAATCTGTTTAAATATATCAAGGGGATTTGACAACATTAATATGGATCTTGTGTTAACTGCATTTGTCACACTCATCTGTTATTGGTACACCCACTGGCACGTGCAGCACAATAAAAGAATTAAAATGGTCAAAACACCATGAAATCAAAGCATTCTGCTTTTGTATCTGTGATTTACATGATGACAAGTGTTTTGAAAGAAAGCCTTTGAAGCTGGGCTGGTATGTGAGGATATTTTTCTTCTTTTTTCTTAGGATGGAGTAAAGAGAACCATTACTTTGCAAATGTTATTTTGTCTTAAATATAAAGAAAAAAACAATGTAATAATAAATATTAAGAAAAGATGCTGAATCTTACTTGCGATCTTCATATGAATCATCTCATTGTACAAAATAAGAATCAGTCACAAGTGTAGCACCAACAGGACAGAATAGCTACCCCTCATTTTTTCTGTATATAAATCTTCTGAAATTGAATTCTTAAAAAAGAGGCTAAAATTGACCGCATTTTTTTTTTTAATAGAAAAGTTATTAACAATTTAGTGTATTGTTAAATTTTTAATACACAATTTGCCAAAGAAGCAAACTGATAACGAAATACTAATTGTATACATGCATACTAAAGCCTTTTGATAATCTGAAAATTTCACGATAGTTTCATCTGTGGGATCATTATACGCTTATTAATATGGTATGAAATATTGAACTCTCTGATATCCACAGAACTCTCACTAATTTCATGGGATCTGGATTTCAGGAGACTACTTCAAGGTGCTAAAATACAATGACCCAAGAGTCAGTACAGCACTTCTTTTAAAAAAGTTTCCTGCATAAGAACTAAGAAAAATAGCAGACTTCATAACAAGCCTTCATTTCAGCAATAACAGAACAGTGTTAAAAAAAAGCCGCAGAGCTCCACGCTCCTTTTGTGTAGCCCACATTGGACTTCTGGAATAGCATTAAGGGGACCTCCATTGTTATATTCTACCCAGGTTCAGCTACACCCTATACATTTAGCCTCCAGCATCTCCCACACCAATCTACAGAACCTGCTCTAATGGGGATGGAGGTGGGAAGAAGCACTGGATGTAATGGATGACAGATTTTTGATGAATGAAAAGTGGTTTCCCAAGTATAGAACTTCATTTGTTAGGAAATTAGACTAAAATAACATGACTATAATGACAAAAAGAAGGTGAAATTAAAAAAAAAAAAAGATATTTTGACAGTCATAGGGAAGTCTAAGAGACATTAATAATATTCTCTCAATAAAAAGTTTTCATTGGGACAAGATAATTAATGAACAAAGTTAAAACAAGAAAATGGAATATTTTGTTGAGAAAACAGAGCAGCTGAGATGTATGTCTGATCAAGAAAAGCGCTATAAATTATTATTACAACTCCACTGCCGCCTATTGTGATATTACTTCCAATATAAGATCATAATAATCCCCAAAGCATGTTAAACTCCATACTTTAAAATTTACCAAAAACTGGTTTCCCATGTTCCACGAGCAGCACATTTTCTTCCCAGCCACTTTGTTAAATCCATGCAATTTTCAATTTAATAGGTATGACCAAAACTACACTCCAAACACAACTACTATAACTTTCTCTGTTGTTGTTCTTAAAAAGGCAAGAAGAAACTATTTCTTTTAATAAACTAACAGTAAGAGCAGATTCTGTGTCAATGGCCAACTAGTGCACCATCTGCCCCACAACATGCTCAGCAGGATTACGCTCTAATAAGACTTTTCAGAAAATGGGATCAAAAAGAACTTGAGAAATCAGACTAAGGTTAGTAAAAGGTCAAAGATAAATATTAAGAGTTAAACAACAATCATTATAAACTCAAAATTATATGTAGATTTGTAGGTACAATAAAGAAAAAGACCAGAAAAGAAAATTCAAGTCCTGGATTAAGCTGTACTTTATCAGACAGAATTTTGGAATCTCTAGTATTTCATTTACCTTTTTTATTTATTATTTATTTATTTATTTTCATTTACCATTATTAATAAAACCAGAAAAAAGCCAGAGACCATTCTGGAGGCTGTTTCCACATGTGAGTTGAGGGAAAGCATTTTTCATCTTCCCATACTTGTGGGAAGATATTTTTTATCTACATTCAGGGTTGAGGAATAGCAGACATGACTACTTCTGTTTACTGCAGAGAATGGAATTCCCAAAACCCATTAATTAAAAAGTGGTAAACATGAACAAACCACATTGAGGCCCTATTCTTAAGATACACTCGTATCAAGAGCTCAGTGAATATATTCACTCCTGATGCACAAACAGGGTTTTCAGAAAAATATGTGTACCGTTACCTTCCAACCTGAATAAGGTCATACCTACCTCATTGAATTTGAGATTGTATTAAATTTGAGACAGTTTTAATAATTGGTTTTACATTTAGCAAATACAAACTTTTAAAATAACTGATAAAAATATAGATATATCTAGGCCACAAGCAAATAGAATGACTATTGCATTTTCAACCTTACTTCTCACTACATGGTGCCTCTGTACTCATTTTCTCAGCTTTAACTGCACATTAACACCAGTTTCAGTACAGTATTTCCTTCTATTATTTTTTGAAAACAAAAAGAAAGAGCACATCTTTTCCACCAGTCACAATTATTTGGTTTAACAACTTCTGTAAAAAAATTGTTTGATAAAGCTAAGTACAGTGCCTGGCCAAATCTCTCCTGAAGACTGTCATACCTATTTGCAGCCCAGTATCTTACAAGAAACATTGCCATCCTGTTTTTAACCAATAAGGTGCCAAATTTAATCACACTAATATAAATGTAAGGTACTTGCACTCTGTTCTGTGATGATGTTAACAGAAAACAAACACCCAATAAAAACTAGCATTGAATGCCAACAGGAATCTGCAGTTTCATAGAAAAGCAATAATGGAAAGGCTAGTAGCATTGTGCCATGATGTGCGTTTTCTCAAGACACATACATCTGAACTGGTGGGTTCAAGTGTTCTCAGGATACTGCTAATAGGTACAGTCATAAGCCAGAGGCATAAGGAAATAGGGTCTAACTACGGGTGCTAAGTCTCTCAGAAAATCCTTCTGAGATGATCTAGTGGTGACCTTGCATAAGGCACTCCCCCCATCCTCCCCATTTGTTCTATGAAATGGGGTTGAAGGCATAAAAACTGACCCAGTCAGAACAAGGCTTTACAAACTTAAAACCAAGCCCCCACGCCACTCACACAGGGCTACACATTATGGAGAAGACAAAAGGGTAACACACAACTCATTGCTCTTGAGAAATGCTTTACTCTTCATTCTTACCTTATCTGAAGATTTTTCTGTATGAGTAAGATTGTAAGAGACCATGCCATGCTTATAAGAGCTAGAAGGTTTGTATCCAGCATTTTTACTTCTTTTTGACTCTTGAGATTCAGGAAGTAGAGCATCTGCCACTAAGTATTCTGAATCTTCAATGGAAGTAAGAATTGCTTTTGCTGTTTCACCTGTTTCGTGTCGTTCTAGTGTGCCTAGAAAAATACAACAGAAGCTGTAATTTTTTCAAGGAACTACACTATTTCATATTTCAGCATAAGTATCATAGTATCAACATAGTACATTTCATGTGAGCAGATAAATCATGAAAGATTTACAGATGAGCCAAATAATTCCTTATTTCTGGACACAGAAATTTTACACAAGAGTCTATTCTACAGCATTGCTATGTTAAAAAAGTAAAGCTTAATTTCTAAAGAAATCACTTTCTAAGCAAATACCTTAGATTTGGACCACAAGAAATTTAAGATATTTTGTATAACGTGTGAAGGAAGGAGCAAAGGAAATTCAGAAGAATACCACTTGCCCTAACTCTGTTTTGAACAGTGTCATTTGTTTTCTTCTCACAAGACCCTCACAGAGCATCTATATCATTAACAGTGTAAACAATAACATATTTATGTAATATTTCAGTGCTGTCCTCTAGTGTTCTAGATTACAAATAGCAAGGGAAAGCTCAAATTTTTCCTTCCATTCCTAAAAACCACCTTTACATCTGACACTTTTTAAACACCTGAATATACTACATGTAGCTTAGTAGTCAGGAATATGAACATGTTTCAGACTATTTCATCACTTGTGTGGCTCTAGGCAATCCAATTCCTTTAACTGTTACACCCAGTTATATTATTTTAGTAATAATTTTATTTAGTAATAATTTTAGTAATAGTACTTAATGTATAGCTAACATTAAAGATATCTAAACTGAGCTTAAATGTATTTGAAATGAGCTCCTATTATATACTGCACATTTTCTATAGGAATTAAACTCATAAGAAATTGTTGAAATGGCATGTTTCCTATAAATATCAGAGATAAAAGACATGTGAAGGATTTTAAAAGTATTAAATATCTGCTATAATGTGAAATGTTTTTTCCCTTAAGTTTGAATTCTTTGTAGCCTCAAGTAATACAACATGAATTTTCCCTTTCACTGCTACCAGAAAAAATGTGTAACATTGAAGTTCTATCAGTAACACCTGCTAAAAATATTGAACTGGGATTGAGGGATCTCATACGGTAAGTGTTTGTGTGTGTATGTGTGTATAAAATCTCTTTATCTGAAATTATTTCTCTGAAACTCATCCATTCTGTTCACTGTAGTATCACCTCTGTTACTTATATGGCCAAGAGTCTCTGCATTCGGAGCAGACAAAAGTAATGCAACTGATTCTTTGTCCCCTACAAAATCAATTGAATGCCATAGATTTTTATAATATTGCACTGAAAAAATAAGGATCAGCCCCAGTTGTTTTTAATATGTAGTTTTCTTCATCCCTCCCCAGGATTTGCAGCCAGTGTCAGGGATCATTACAGAAGTGAATATTTACTGGAAGGAAAGCAAGTTGCCCAAAGATCTTTACAGCTGGACTGTCCACAAACACTTCAAAACAATACTGGCTACAAAGCTCCCAACATCGCAACATTTCAATATTTCAGGAACACAAAAACTATATTAATAGATGCCTACAAGGAAGGATTATACAATTCACCAGACGTGAGTAAACATGCATTCTTAAAAGGATTATAGTGTTTGCAAAGTTAAGAAGTTTGGAAATGATACAGTCACTCAGCTAATATTATTTTGGTCTCTTTATATATGCAATGTAGTCTTTCAAGCTATAAGAATGTCCTATTTCCTCACAGAACTCTCTGCATCATTCAGAGCAAAAGATGAACAAAAGTCACCAAGGAAGTAGTTGCCCTCCCTTATTGTTAAGTACGAAGGACTAAGCTTTCTCTACTACCTTCTGCGGCAAGCCCACTATGCAGGGAATATTTACATGTATACACACACACACATATCCATCCTTGTTTTCTGTATCACTTTTGTCTGTGCAATTCACTACTAGAGTACTCAAGTGCTTCAGAAAGACTATTGTCATTATATTCCTGTGAAATTACAGGGTATCATGTTATTTTTATGGGCAAGGAACTAAGGCAGAGATTACAATAAATTTTTAATAAATCAAGAATTTTGGGGGCATGGTATTAAATTTCAAAGACCTGATTATACACACTCTTTAGTATTAGACAGAACTTCAAAAATTCAAAACAGGTTTTGTTAGCTCCAGATGCATCTATGAGTGCCTCACCACCAGTCATCCCTCAGAGCCACACTCTTCTGTGGAATAATCTTGTGGATATATAATAGAATACAATCATTTAATTAAGGCTATCATACCATAGTGGCAAAAGAGGATAAAACCGTGTTTCCAACAAAAATCAAGATCTGAGTTGCCTGACTTTTTATCCTCCTATATATGCACACACACTCAGGAGTAAAAATTAAAATATATTTAAAACCTGTGTTATTTTCCATATAGCAGAGCTTCTTCCCTGGCAACAGCTTCAGAGCCAAGTTTTCAACTTCTGATTGAAGGAAAAATTTTTAGTTGAAAGAAAAAAGAAACAGACTGGAAGAAGTGGTAAAAGTTACAGAAGATGGGGACAGCAGTATTTCACCTTTGAAGACCATGGCCTGAATAGAATAAACAGGTAGTCTTGATGTACATGAAAGCAAATAGATATTTTATATATTTTACACACACACATATATCTATCTTATTTTCAACTGTTGACAAACGTGCTTCTACATATTATAGACTTATGGATGCAAACTGAGAAACAACTGAACAGGTTGTTGAGGTACTGAACACTTCTGCTACCTACCAAACTCTTTTCTAAGTATCAGTGTCAGGATCATGCCATAGCAAGTATACCATTTTGTATGTGTAGTTTGGAGATGAGAAAATTAACTTCTTATCAATCAAAAAAATAATCCCTTCTGGGTTCATACTAGGCAAGAAATATAACTTGGCCACTGACTCAGAGGAGGTTTTTTTGTTGTTTTTTTTTGTTTGTTTGTTTTGGTTTTTTTTAAAAAGCTTGTTTATAGACAGGAACATTGAATAGAAAACAATGCCCTAGACAATCAGCTTAGTTTCTTACTGACAGAAGGCTATGATACCATAAAATCAATTTCAAAAACTTAAGAGTTCCATCTTTAAATCATTTATATATCATTCATAACAGCCATCTCAAATCCCTTATAAGCAGCACCTTCTAGAAGATTGTTCCTTTCTTAAAAACATGCTTGCTTGCATATACTTCTTAATCATGGATCTCTGTATGTGTGTATATCAGATTTGTGTGTACATCTGGAGCTGCAATAAAAGGGCGCAAAGTGCATAGGAAAATGAGTGTGATGGAAGGGGGTGGGTGATCATGAAAGTATCACAAACTATTTATTTTGTCCAGTGTACTTTACACTTCTGAAGAGCCAAAATACTCATTCACAGAATGAGTAGGTGGCAGAGACAAAACAGAGATCTGTGTTCTGTGATTCCTGAATACATCTTTA